TGTGACACTTCAAAAGGATATTCTGCGGAGGAATGTAATCTCACTGCTATGGTCTCAACATGAGACCATCTTGTTCACCTACCTCACCAAGTCCATGAAGGCATCTGTGGTCTGCACCTGCTCAATTCTGCCTTCTCGGTGAAGTGTATCCTTAGATCCTTTTCCTGGGTGGATGATGATGACCATGAGGATGCCAATGAAGACTGCTATGATTGTGGTCACCATGTAGTAGACAACAGCCCGCATCCCCATCTTCCCTGAGGCTCTGCCATCCAGTGAGGCCATTCCTGGGGAATCACACAGAGAGACAAGGTGAAAAGGTCTATTGACTTAGAGGGAAAGGGGAAGCCTGAGGAAGATTCAAAGTGCACAGGACATGTGTGTGAGTTGGACAGGGAGCTGGGGTGTCTAGGAAGCACAGCATAAAAGGGTCAGACTGTGGAGCTCCAAGGTGATGTTGATATGGGAGAATGTGGCTTGTGCTTATGAAGAAACATAGCACTGGTGGGTCTTAGGCTGCATTTGAGAATATAGCGATTTCCTTCTAAAGTTCTCAGAAGGGAAATAATCTCCTTTCATTACATTGGGCCTTTAAGTCACTAATGGTGGGATGTTTCAGCAGGTGAAATGCCTTGCAGTCCCTTCTTCTGTCTGAAAGCTTGGCTGGCTGGCATGTCTTCAATGAGGACCTGGATGAAACAAGCTCTCTAGCTGGTGATCAACTTCAGCTCTTTTGGACTGACACAAATGAACCTTCCCTAGGCTGGAGAAAACCTGAAGCTGACTTGGGCAACAAACTTGTTGACATTTGAGGTTACTTAGGATGAAATCCTTATTAGTGCTTAAGTGTTGGTCATTGGAAACACTACATTGTGTTCTCACTAGTCTTCTGAGAAAACACAAGGTCATTTGCTTCTCTTCCCCACTACTCAGCCAGCAGGGGCATAAGTGTGAATCATGTTCACTACAGCAGTAGGTTCAGGCTTGTCCCTATTAGCCAAGCTAATTGCAAGCACCTCCAGCTGGGGCACAAAGGGGTACTCCAACAAGAGCTAGCATCCGTCTTTGCTGATTATTGCCTTGGCTGAAAGCAGCAGAAAGCACTTCTCACCTGTAATCAAGCTAGAGACAATGAGAGGAAGAACCAACATCTGAAGCATACGCATCAGCAGCTCGCCGGGGAAGGAGAAATACTTGATCTGGCGATAGGTCAGCTGGTAGGGCCGGAGGGAAAATGCCAGGATAATCCCTGTGGATCAGCAAGGGATGAGAATGGAAATGGGGCAGTGTAATCCAGTGGTCTGTCCCTCAGTCCTACAGCATGTATTTTCTTTCTCATGTCCTTTCAGCTCCTCCTCTCCCCAAAGGAGCAAATGCTCTTTCTTTTTCTAAAAGGCTATGATCCAGTTTTTACTGTATGCTTTCTCTTTCCTTCCGACATATTTATATGCATAGGAGCCCCATGCTAAACCACAGGTCAACTTGTTGCTCTGTCTGCTGATCCTCTGGGATCTGTTCCCAGAAGTTCATGAACACAAAAATGCTGTGATCGGAGATATGATCTCCCAGCCTAACCTAAGTGTGACGATACAGTTCAGAGACTTTGTCCATCTATCTCTTAAAGCCGAATTGAGCCAGTGAGTTAGAGACGTATAGCCTGGATCAAAAGCTAGGGACAATCCACTATCTGCTGGGCAGATTTAGTTTGCGTTGCATCACAGCTCTTTGCACCAGTTCCCCCTTCTGGTACTGTTAGGCTAAAGCTGTGGGATGAAGCTGAAGAGCCCTTGTGCCTGTAGCTGCACCCACGAGAAGCTTCTGAACAAAGCTGTATGATTTTTTTATGAGAATTGGTAGAGCTGGATCATCAAACCCTTTCTATTGTAAACTGTTCCTAAGCTGCAGCTAGAAAGGACCAACAAGGACTCCCTCACACACACTCTATGCAAGGTCTATTGTTCTTACATACAAAGGTACTCCTGATTTGGACAGTGTTTTGAGCTATTACCTCATCAGCTTCACCTCCCCAGCCAAATGGTTATGATAAAATAAAGTCTTTGTAGAACAAAACAAACTTTTCCCCATATTTATAAATGGCGCCCAGTGTTGCCACCAGCTTCATACCTAGTAAGACTGCAGCAATGGTGAAGAGGACGAAGGCATTTCTCCTGAAGAAGCTTTTAGCGCTGTCAGCAGTGATGCTGTGCATCCGCTTCTTGGCCCGTGCTGCCCGCTTCTGCACCGCCTGCCGGAAGCGCTGCACCCGGCTCTCGGCATTGAGCCGCTTAGCTGCGTCTTCATTGAGGAACAGGCTGTTGACATGACTCTGCTCGCTCATGGTCAGCGCAGCTGCTCAGTCGCCAAGGCACAGCTCTGCCTACGCTGGGCAGGGAGAAACACAGGAGGGAAAGCATAAGCTGCAGCACCTGACACCTTGCCTTCATTTTTAGGTCATTTGCCTGAGACCCTGAGCAGGTTTATTTAGAGTTGATTAATATGCTCCTCTGCACCTCTGCAAGGAGCAGACCCCAGGAAAAGGCATCTAAAGGGCTGCCAGGGTCTTGTTACAACTGCTCCGGTGTCTCTGGAGAAGTTCTGGCCTCTGTAGAACCCAACCTGCACTGAGGAGCGGCTTATGGTGGCCTAGGCAGCCAAAAAAGGGCTCCACAGCCACCCAGGCTTGTTCTTAGGAGTTCTATCAGTTTGGACAGGAATGAGTTTTTATCACTTGACAATAAAAGCAGTTCCTGCACACAAACTGTTCCAAACAAAACCAAGCAGCAAACAACATTTCTGACATACGTCCTAGGTGGACAGGCCCCTACCAGAACAGCTTTCCTCACGACAGCAAGCAGCACCATCTGTTTCTGCAGAAAGGAACATATTACCTTTGCCTTCTGTGGAGCCTGGGGAAAATGCTTTACTGACCTTCCTTTGAAGCACAACAGGACTTTCAAGTAGTATCTCTTGTCAAACTCCACTGATAGGGTTAACCTGCTGTCCTGTCTAAGACAGATCAAACTTACTCCAAAGAGGTAAATAAAGGACCAGTTCTACACCATTACCTAGTGGCTGCAAGGCCTGGAGCAGTCTACTGTTCTTTAACTGTTTATTTTTTAATATTATTCCCATATTCCTCAGAACAAAAGAACAAGGAGGCTACACAGGCATACCAGTCCACTCTGGAGTGACAGAAGGCACCACCAATGCAATGGTCCTTATCATTTGGAGGATTATTGCCTGACTGTGCAGGTGCCAGTTTCCTACTGTCACTGTGCCTTGACAGATACAAGGTCTGAAAATTATTCTTGTTCCCATGAGTTTGCAAAGAAAATACCAGACTAGATGAAACCAAAGAAAAAGAAAGTCACCTTAGGACATCAGCAGGTGCTGAAAGACCTTTGGTGTTGCAAGTCAAATAAGAGCTACTCCATCTGCATTCCTAAATTTAAGTCAAAGAAACCATCACAACTGGGATTACATGGAGCACTGCGAACAGAGAGGGCAGAGCATGGCGCGTCAGCCAGGGCATGGCGCAGCAGTTTGCGTTGGCAGTTTGCACGGGAGGGCGTGCAGGGAGGGCGTAGTGGCCCCCCCAGCTCAAGAGGTGAGTTCAATTGGTAGTCATCACCCTCTCAGAAGGAGCTTAGCTATGGTAGCCACCCAGCAGAAAGCCATGTCCACTGCACTTGCCAGAATGAATGTGGCGACCCAGACAGAGCTCCCATGGAAACATGCTGCCATCCAGGCCTCAGGCTGCAGGTAGTGCCAGAGCCTCTCACTGGTAATGGGTGGCAGCAGCGAGAGCAACTGTGTGAGCTGTGACCAGGGGGACGATCGGCTCAGCATGGTAGCGGAGCAACGAGAGGAGGTAGAAAGGTTAAGGAGCATCAGGGAGTCCAAGAAAGAGATGGACTTATGGAACCATGCTCTGCCCTCCCTGAGACAGAAGCAGGAACAGCCACCAGAAAAAAACTAAGATCAAGGGGATCCTGTATTTTCCCCCTGCCAAGCTGAAGGCAGTAGCTTAAAGGAAAGGAGCAAATGGAGGCAAGTACATGCTCAGGGCAGCAGACAAACCCCCTCCTTGCACACGTCACCTCCCCAGGTGCCTCTGTACAACAGGTATGAGGCTCTGGATGTGGAAGGACAGTCCATGGATGATGTGGATGACGGTCCAGATACCCTTCTCTTAGGGAAGGCTGCTGCCTCCCCGGGGCATGGGTTAAGGACATCACTAGGAAACTTCCCAGACATGCTCAGGGCAGCAGACAAACCCCCTCCTTGCACACGTCACCTCCCCAGGTGCCTCTGTACAACAGGTATGAGGCTCTGGATGTGGAAGGACAGTCCATGGATGATGTGGATGACGGTCCAGATACCCTTCTCTTAGGGAAGGCTGCTGCCTCCCCGGGGCATGGGTTAAGGACATCACTAGGAAACTTCCCAGCTTGGTGCGGCCCTCAGACTATTACCCACTACTGCTCTTCCATGTGGGTGGAGATAAAGCTTCAACTCATAGTCCAAGGGTGATCAAAAGAGACTCCAGGGCCTTGGGACGGTTGGTAAGGGAATCTGGAATACAGGTTATTTTTCCCTCCCGCCTTCCAGTTGTGGGCAGCAACATAGGGAGGAACAGATGGGCCTAGTCTATTAATGCATGGCTGCATGACTGGTGCCATCGCCACAATTTCAGCTTTTTGATAATGGGACAGCCTACACAACACCTGGCTTGCTGGCATCATATAGGATTAACCTTTCTCAAAGGAGGAAGAGCATCTTTGCTCACAAGCTGGTGGGGCTTATTGACAGGGCTTTAAACTAGACTCAAAGCGGGAGGGGGATAATATCAGGCTCACCCAAAAGAAGCTGTGGGATGACACACCAAGGTTAGAGGGCAGGGCGCTAGCGAGGCCCCTCAACCCATTGCACTAGAGAAAGACCTCAGAGGAAGTAAAGGAGGTTCCTCTAAGAGGGTGACATGGCTGACAGCCCAGCTGAAGTGCCTCTACACCAATGCATGCAGCATGGGCAACAAACAGGAGGAGATGGAAGCCACCGTGCTGCTAGGAAGCTATGACCTGGTTGCCATTACTGAAATGTGGTGGGATGAATCCCACAACTGGAGTGTGACTAATGATGGCTACAGGCTGTTCAGAAGGGACAGGTGAGGAAGGAGGGGTGAAGGTTTTACCCTTTATGTCAAGAAATGGATAGAGTATGAAGGGCTGCCTCTGAAGAAGAGCCACAAGCAGGCCAAAAGCTTATGGGTAGGCATCAGGGACTGAGGTGACAAAGGGAACCTTGTGATTGGTGTCTGCTACAGGCCACCTGACCAAGGGGAGTCTATTGATGAAGTCTTCTTCACTCCAACTACAGGAGGCATCACGCTTGCAGGCTCTTATCCTGCTGGATAGAGTATGAAGGGCTGCCTCTGAAGAAGAGCCACAAGCAGGCCAAAAGCTTATGGGTAGGCATCAGGGACTGAGGTGACAAAGGGAACCTTGTGATTGGTGTCTGCTACAGGCCACCTGACCAAGGGGAGTCTATTGATGAAGTCTTCTTCACTCCAACTACAGGAGGCATCACGCTTGCAGGCTCTTATCCTGCTGGTCAACCACCCCGACATCTACTGGAAAAGTAGCACAGCGAGCTGTAGGCAATTGAGGAGACTTCTGGAGTGCACAGAGGATAACTTCCTGTGCCAGGTAACAGACAGCCCTACCAGAGGGGATGTGATACTGGACCTGTTGGTCACCAACACATGTGAGCTAATTGGTGACGTCAAGATTGGAGGCAGCTTGGGCTGTAGTGATCAAGCACTGGTGAGATAGTCCTGAGAGATATGGGTCAGGTGAAGAGTAAAGTCAGGACCCTGAATTTTAGGAAAGCAAACTTCCAGCTCTTCAGGGAGTTGGTCAATAGGACCCCCTGGGAAACTGCCCTCAGGGACAAGGGAGCAGAACAGAGCTGGCAGATCTTTAAGGATGCTTTCCATAGAGGGCAAGAGCTCTTGATCCCCAGGTGTAAGAAATCAAGAAAGGAAGGTGAGAGGCCAGCCTGGCTGAGTCAAGACCTGCTGGGCAAACTAAAGGCAAGAAGGAAATGCACAGGCAGTGGAAGTAGGGACAGGTATTCTGAGAAGTGGAAGCAGGGACAGGTATTCTGAGAAGAGTACAGGGACACTGCCCAGTTGTGTAGGGATGGGGTCAGAAGGGCCAATGCACGGCTGGAGCTGAACTCTGTCAAGACCTCACCTGGAATACTGTGTCCACCTCTGGAGCCCTCAGCACAGGAAAGACATGGACCTGTTGGACCAGGTCCAGAGAAGCGCACAAAAATGCTCAGAGGGATGGAGAGAGTTGGGGTTATTCAGACCGGAGAAGGGATGGTAGATGCCACATCCCTGGAAACATTCAAGTGCACGGCTGGAGCTGAACTCTGTCAAGACCTCACCTGGAATACTGTGTCCACCTCTGGAGCCCTCAGCACAGGAAAGACATGGACCTGTTGGACCAGGTCCAGAGAAGCGCACAAAAATGCTCAGAGGGATGGAGAGAGTTGGGGTTATTCAGACCGGAGAAGGGATGGTAGATGCCACATCCCTGGAAACATTCAAGGTCAGGTTGGACAGGGCTCTGAGCACCCTGATCTAGTTGAAGATGTCCCCGCTCACTGCAGGGGGTGATGACCTTAAAAGGTTCCTTCCAACCCAAAGATTCTATGATTCTATGATTCATTCGTGCTTCCTAACATCAAGTCTGAACCTCCTCTCGTGCAGCTTTGAACCATTCTCACATGTCCTGTCCCTGGATCCCAGGGAGAAGAGATCAGCACATCCCTCTCCATGTCCCCTCCTCAAGAAGCTATAGAGAGAAATGAGGTCACCCCTCAGCATCCTTTTCTCCAAACAAGACAAGCCCAAAGTCCTCAGCCGCTCCTCAGTCTATAAAATACACATCTAGTGTCTGCCATTTGGACCCAGATAAATGCCTATCATAAACTGAAGACATCACGTTAGAGAGGAATTGGTTCATGGTACAACATTGCAAGGCCATTTCCAACAGACAGATGAAGGAAAACCTCCATTCTGATAGATCTGTTTGCACAGATGCTAATGCCTTCATGAGGTTCAGAGCAGTGGAGAGACACCTGAGGTGGCCCAGCCAAGCCACTCGAGGCCTCTAAGCCCTCACAAGGCTAAACTGTGTGAGGACCTTCACACCCTTCTCAAATGGTGGGGAACATACCTTCCAGCCCTGTCACCAGCTTGGTTGTTCTCCTCTGGCTGCATTTGAGGACCTTCACACCCTTCTCAAATGGTGGGGTCCCAGAACTGCACACAGTACTC